TCAGCAGGACAGGATGAACTTGAGCCTTGTGCATAATAGGGAGAACACATGCCTCCTGCATGTGTCACATAAAATCCTAAAAAAAATTACGTAACGTAGCTTTCAAAACTGGTAACATGAAAGGCAATTCAAGTTAGGAACTAATTAATTGCGGGCCAAGAGTGATTTGAGAGTATCTGAAAATAAAAAGACATTTAAACAATAGCCTAATAGTACAGCAATGTAAGCTGCTTTGAAACGCTATTTTTGTAATGACATGAATCTTGATTAGACTCAGGTGACTCTGTAATGACAGAACAAGCAGAACAGGCATGTGGCTAGCCACTAATTCATTACTATCTGTTCTTCTCATTTATATTTCCAAACAGAAACGCCACACAATAGGTACATTAAAAAAACATTAGTGATGTTGAAAAGTTATGCACTCAACAGCTAAGGAAATGCCAAAATTAAAGCTGTCGGTGCAAATTTAATTTGTCTTTCTTATGCATAAGTGAAATCATTCATTACATGCTGACAGGGAGAAGACCAGTGTTAAAAACAGCATGGATTTTATGTACAGGACTGTTTTTCCCTGGGGTCTGGTGACTACCAAGGCCTTTCCTGAACACAGAGGAATGACCCCTTTGCCTTTGCTTGCTGCTCTCTAAAAAACCTACAAGGATCAACTAATTACAGATGACAACTAATACAAAACAAGTGTAACAGGCATCCCAGTTTCAGATTTAGCACAAAGATGCTGTTGGGTGAGCTATTTTCTCTGTGCCCCTGCTCCACAGAAGAAAGTAACTACTAAGCGGGTAATGGTGAGAAAAACCTTACAGTCAAGAGCATTAAGGGACAGAAGCAAGCATCAAATATTCCTGTACATCATCTGCTCTCTCCACCCCAAAACCTGAATGGAGAACTGCTACCTTTGCCTGACATCAAGGAGGAAATCCTGAAGTTTTACAAGAGGGCAAGGACAGAACATGAATGCAATGGAGGGTTCATCCTTACTTCCAGTTTGAGACAAGGGCTGCTACCAGACTTTCCTGCCACCAGACGTTCAGCTTTCCTACTGAAAGAACCCAGGTGTTCAGAAAAACATATGCAAAAGCAACCCATACTCACAGGAGAAAGCCACCCATATATTATCCCTGCATGCTGAGGAACCAATGAAGACTGCTGCTGGCCCACCATGCAGTGCTGTCTTCTACAGAAGGTAGAAGTTCCTGTGGGCGAATGATACGAGCAAAGAAATTGATGCAGCACAACTAGGGGCACCATAATAAGCTCTATAGGGCAACAGCAACCTGAATAATTTATTAGAAAGAAAAATCAGCCCTTCCTAGGTCAGAGCTCTTGGTCTGATGAGGTACTGTCAAAGGTAGCATCTAGGAGAGCGCAGCCTCTCTCATTTAGTTCAGCTGGCCTCCACTCTCTCCTTTTTCCTTCCCTCACCACTGCTCTACTAAAGCCATGCGCTCCTTTCTACACCAAACATAGCTCCAGTACCTACTCTTACCTATTTTCTCTCTCTATTCCTAGTCATGTTGCTCCAGTTCTCCTCGTTTCTCTATAAACTTGTGGCAAGTCCTCTTATATTTTGCCTCCATTCAACCCAGGGAGATCAGACAGGGATGCAAGCCTAACCTGCAGATGCCCACAGGACGCTGAGCTACTCTCACGTCCCCTCACAGGGCCCAGAACAGCCCACAGCAACCCAAAGGTGCAAAGGCAGAGAAGCACCACCTTAGCTCCAAACCGGAGCAGATGCCATGCAGACAATGTCTTTGCAAAGTTTCTCCTGATAAGTTCTGAACTCTGGTAAGGATATATAATGAAATACTTTTCCTAAAGCAATTCAAATGGCTTTTCAACAACTTATACCACTGCTAACTTTGAGTGTGTTATCATACGGATAGCAAAAGGTCACTGATACAACAGAGAACTTACATGCCACATTTCAGTTTCCAGACAGAGTTTTTCAGACTAAAGCTTCCAAGAAAATTTTCACTTGAACTAAGCAATATTTAGTTATTTTCCTTAGCACTAGACATGGAAACAACAGAACTGTTTTTGCAGAATTATTTTTGGTTTTTTAAGTCAGCCTGTGGCAAACATTACCACGGAGGTTTCGTTCAAAAGTCACAGCTTGCCAGCTGATTTCTACACTTGGAAAAAGAAAACAGATTTGTGCTGTAAGGTCCAAAGTATATTGTCGCGTCTCTATTTTTTGTTAGCTGCACCATAGGATCACACATCCTGCTTAGAACTAGGATTTCTGTCTACTAACTTCTCTACAAATACATGAGAAAAAGAAAGGGCTCACTTGGGGAATTTGCAGTCTAACTTAAAATAAGATCCAAAAGGAGGAAATAATTCAAACTTTCCAACAAGTTTTTCCGATGGAAAAATGTGCCTTTGGCATGTGCAGTTTAGTCAGGATCAAAGCATTTCATCAAAACAATGGAAAGACTGGGTTTTTATAGCATTTTCCTAAGGAAAAAAACCCTGAACTTAAATATGTCCACTTTTTTATAGTTAATACGTAATATTTCATTACGATAATTTTTGGACTGAATTGAAACAAAATTTAACTATTAAACCTCTCAATATTTTGTTTATAGTCAGTTTTTTTCAAATTACGCAAACTCTGTTTTGTCAAGGGTGTTTTAATGGTTCCAACTTAAAGTCTGTGGAACGCTTCACACACAGGGAAATGTTTGCTTTTCAGTCATATTCAGAAATATCAACATTTTACGTTATAAGCAGATACCTGCGGTACCACAGCAGAGGAAACATGCTGCCCCTGTGAAGATTGGGGATAACAGCTCTAAGAATAAACAGGTGATTGTTGGCTGTGTGAGCACTACTAGTCATTGTTCTGTTTCTAATTTCTTCACACGAGCTTAATTATTTTCCTCTTCTACTACACTCTTTACTATAATAGGAACAGAGTTAGGCTACCATCTATGCTGTCTAATGCTTTGAGAGATTCCTACTCATTGCAGGCAAAAAATTTAAAATTCGCTCACAGACTGTAATTGAATATTAAGAGGAATGCAGACAATAAAACTGGTACGTGTGTTCAAAGTTATCTGGTACAAATCAACAAAGCCAATGCGCAGGCAAATCACTCCAAGGCAAGCTGAGTTTCTAGCTCAGAAATCCCCAGTTTAGTTGCACTCCGAAGTTCCGTCCGAGTTTAGCAGACACAGAAGACTCAAAGATTTAGATATCCTAACACCTTTTTCCTCAGTTTACAAAGAAAACGACATATCAAAATTCTCAGTAAAAAGAAATGAAATGTTTCAGTATTTCAGGCTACTTTTCTAGACTTCTCCTGGAAAGTTAGTTTTGAAGTGGCCATAGTAACTCTGCTGTTCCTCTTAGCACAGAAGGCTCTACCAAAGTCTAGGAGAACACTACCTGGGCAGGAATCAGGCACTAATTAAGCCACAAAGTATGGAAATGCAAGTATCTTCACAGCTGGATTTTGTTCCCATGGAAATCAAAGGCCAAACTCCCATTGTCAATAGCATTGCAAAGTCAGGCCTTTTCACTTCTTTCAAGGTTGGATGCTTTCATTATCGAGGTTAAAATGGTCAGTAGTCTGCTTTCTCTCATCAGAGTTTGTTAGGGGATTTCTTACTTTAAAAAAAAAAACAAAACAAAACCAAACCCTTAAGCTCTCATGATAGCATAGCAATCACTCACCCACTGTAGAACTATTAAATTTGCAATGACCTGAACCCTGACTGAAGAAACACTGTAGAAAAAGCAATGAAAGAGGAATATTTTAATAGGCAACACAATGAGCTTTATGGGATTTTGTAGATGTACTGTGGTAAGTGATCAGCCTTTGATTTAGCCTTAACCTTACCAACAGTTGTGGATAACCTGGTACTATGCCAGTCTGTAATTAAATCAGTGAAAACTAAGCTTAAAATAACCACCAGTGATACTGAACCGCCATGCAGTGGGGCTCACCTCCCGGGACACTGTACCATGCACCGCCATTAGTTGTTCCATCCACAAAGCTGCTGTCATCATCATTTTTACGACATGGTGGTCTGTTTGGATCAGACATAGCAGGATTGAAGGAAGAATAACTGCGAGCCAGGCTTTGAAAAATAGCGTCATCAGGGCAGGAGCTGTATTCATGAGCACTGCCTAGGGAGGAAAAAAAGTCCAGGAAGAAGGATTATTAAAAGGGCAGTCATACCGACTGGGCTCACAACCTAGTTTACCAGCTAATTTAAGAGCTAAATTGACTTGATTAAAATATCTGAGGGACTATGATTCCCTCAGGTATTACATCATTTTTGTGATGTAACTCTACTGAAACAAACTATCATCTTCAAAACCAGAAAAAATGGCCATACAGTGACTAGCTTTAAACGTGTGATTAATTAAAATAAGTCATTACAATGCAACGACATGATGTTTACAAGGTCGACCTTAAGTAGCAGTGAAATAAGTACAGAATGTAATTTCTATCTCCTACTATTTCATGCTAACTTCTGTTACATACCACTCCGAGTCTCATCATAAGGATAGTTTGCAACAAGGTCTCCTCCATGAAGATTGGCAGAAAGCACAAAGGGAATATCCATAATCCAGTGAATGACACCTTTCGTTTCGGGAGCAAGCTACAAGAAAATAGCATTACCAGCAGTTACAAACTGATAATTCAATGTAGAAACTTATTCAATTATATATAGTGGGCTTAATTATTATCACATATATTATGCAAGACATTTAAATGAACAGCAATTTTATTTTGGCTTCAGGGAGAACTGAATCAGTCCTTTACATCAGCTTTATAATTATATTAAGTTGATTAATATAAGTCTAAAATTGGTATAAATCAGTTCAGAATGAGACCACAAATAAAGCAATCTCAATCTTTTACTTCTTCCCATCACGGCTAAAAAAAGCCTACCAAATTTTAAACCAAGGAAAATAAAATAATTCAAAATAAATGTTGGTAGGATGCAGTTTATTCTCTGTATAGAAAGTAAAATTACTTCATTTAATAATTCGAGTTTGAAGACAGAATATGACTATTAAGACCACAATCCTATGGGACTGCAGTCACAACACTATACTTTCTAGAACCTTCTCTGGGGGTAAACACAAGAAGATAAAAATCCCTCCAGATATATGCCTGTATATTTAAGGCTTAAGCTTAACAAAAATGCATGTGTTATATGTGAGAATAGCTACCTAGCCAGCAATGTAATTAAGCACAACACACAAGTGAATTTTTGGCAATGGTAAAAATGCCTGCAAGAATAGCTTCAAATCAAGGGAGAAGGCTACACAACCTCTGTTAAAAATAGAACATGTTTTGAGTGAGGAATTGTCTAAGGATTAAGCAATATGGATCAAAAGAGCTTACTACAGCAAGCCATTTTAAGAAAATCTTCAAGAAGCATCAGATGGATAAATTTAACAAAATGAACAAAACATTTTGAAGAATGTAAATCGTAAAGACCATACACACAGCTTTCAGAGGTTGCTATGTGTCTGCTTGCATAAAAGGGAAGAGATGGGCATGTAAGTGACCCAATATTCAGCCCCTACTTGCCTTAGGATTCTGGTCCACAGCTTTTTTCATGTTTTTCAGCAGATGGTTGTTTGGGCCACCTTCTTTCTCATTAACATAGACTATTCTATCAAGATCAGGGAAATTTCGGTTTAGATCTATCCCTTGGGCATTACTTCGACCAACAAACCAGTCTTTAAGTTCACCAGGCTGAATGAGGAAAGGGAACAGAAAGAGAAGGAGATGAGTAGATTCAGATTGCATATCAAGCTTTATATGGGTATATTTAGCCATGCAAATTTAAATCATGGGTTTACATCTCTTGTTCTCAAGAATAAGAAAGAAACATGTGAAAGTAAAAAGTTCTGAAGCACCAAGAGCTGAGTCACTCCTATTTCTTCCTAAAGCTCTGGGGGAACAAACCCAACCTCTATTTCACCAAGGGTTTTGGAGGAGACGATCATTCTCATAGTGGCAGATCTGGACTAAGGATGGGCAAAATTAACCAGCAACATCAGATTTTCCAGTGCCCGCTGAGTCTTCCCCCGAGACGTGGCTTTTCCCCATTGCTTCATGCCCATGCTCATGAATTACAGACCTCATTTTAGTGAGCCTCAGAGCAGCTGTAGATTTATCAGCCAGCCACACAGAATGTTTGCACTTGTTTCAAAGTTCCTCTAAACAGCTTCTTCCAAAGTTCCTCTAAATAGCTTCAAGGTAAAGAAGGACCTTAACTTTTATTTACCTAAGATTTTTATTTTTATGGTGTCTGTCAGCTTCATTCACTGCAATGGCAACACTGAATAAAGATGCAGTGAGAATTTTTGCAAAAATCTTTTCTTTAAGATGATTCCCTAAAATAGGTTTGGGGTTGCATTAACAAAATGCCTTCAAAAGGCATAATTTTTCCTAGCTTGCCTCTCAAAGCTTTCAGTACTCTGTAAAGTAGGTTTAGTTCAATTATTGGTTTTAATATTGGGGTATATTGAGTCTACTGTCACACACTGTGTACAGAATCAAGATACTTCTAAATTAGAATAACAATGACATTAAAGCAAATTGTATCATAAACGGTATGTAATTTGTAAGGCAATCCTGTAAAAGCAAGTGTACTTTGACTAAGGAGCAAAAGTTTCAAATTATATTATTACAGCACCTCTACAGAGAGAGATTTCAAACAAGTAAAATACTGCACCAATTTGGAGACAGCTTCTGCTTCGTTGCCACGAGAGGGAGACATATGACCGAATATGGTTTAAAGAGTTCTGTGGTTTTGGGGTTTTTTTAAAGACTTCATGAGAATCAGTTTAATCAAGATCTTAATACGGTTTGACTTATTTAATCATAAATAAATAGTCATATAAAGAGAGTCAACATTTCCCTATTAATTTTAAAAATATACCTTGTAAAACAAGAAAACTCTTATTTTTGTTTAGAACATAATACACACCAGAAATTGTATATAACAGGGTCCTATTTGGCCTCTATTTGCTAATTATGCATTAACACATTACATGTTTCTTGGCTGAGTCGTCATTCTAAAATACATGCCAAATTTTCTTGACTAATAGCTTAATTAAAGCACCTCAGGCCTGAAATTCAGAATCGAAGTTACTCCTATTAAAAAGATGGCTCACGAAGTTTGCTTGTTTTGGGATCAAGCTCCAATGAATGTGAATAATTCATGTAAGTGCATTTACATGAGAATATTCTTAAAGGAAATATCAACTTTCCCTTTTCTACCAATTTTGAAACTTCATGTATTACTAGAAGTTATTTGTTTAGGAAGCAGCTCGGTCAGTGAACTTAGATGGAAGAATATGCATGAAACATAAACATCATTATATTTTAAAATACAGTAAACTTACTTACAAGAGAGATGGTTATTTGTTGAAAAACCAAGCATAAAACCTTCCTTGTTAAACAGAACAAGCCTACTGTACTATTAGGAAATACTTCAGTTATGTTCTTCCATTCCACAATCACCACCAGGAGTTCATGTACCTGTAAAACTGCTAGTCCAAGTGTCATTATGATCCTAAGGTTGATATAGACATTGATAACTATTCTTATACACATAGCCTTACAAACCTGGGATGCTGCCTTCTCAAAGCCATCTGGGTTCAAAGATGGCATGATATGGATACGTGTGCTATGGATCAAGTTGACAATAGTTTCATTTCCTTTCTGGTATTCATTACACAAGTACTGAGCCAAGAAGATGAGCAACTCCCTTCCGACAGCTTCATTCCCATGCATATTCCCAACATACTTAAATTCTGGTTCTCCTGCAAGACAAAGGAAGAACACATCTTAGAACAACACATAAAAATCACCCATGGACTGGATCACACAGCACACCTGAGATGTGGGTATCACTATTACTACAACTGGTCACAGTATCTCCAGGAAGCTACAAGCCTCCTTCAGAAAAGTGGATTTTTTTTCTAAACTCTGGCTAAACAAATAGTAATTTATACTCAGCTGTTTGCCAAAAGCAGAGAAAGAATATCAGAGGACAACACAGTATGCCAAAATAAATGCTAAGCACGGCCATTAACATTACTACTGTTAAGATCTAACGCAACTGATTCCTCAATACTATAAAAGGGTGCTTGATTAGGTAGATTTTAAATATATAAACTGACACTAACAGAGCTTCTTATCTTTAATGTTCTCTTCAAGATTAGGTTAGGCTTATCATACTATACATGCGTTAAACTGCAATTCTTTTACCAAAGCAACAGCTGTTGATCCTAGCGATCTGAAAAATCTTATTCAGCAGTTGCTTTGGATAGTCAGGTCAGGCATTATGAAGCAAGTGCCATAACCTAACTCATAAAATTAATCATTCCCATCTAACATTCCAATAAACAATCCAGTATTATGCATATATTTAATGGTGATTTAATATATACTGTATATTCCTAGATAATATGCAATGTATAATATGTATTCAATATATATTTTATATATATTCAATATATAAATGAGCACTCCAATATTCCCAGTTACTCCTTAGTCGCATTCTCATGACCCTAGGCATGAAAAACACACAAGATAGGTCTTAAAGAGCTGTGAAGGATTCACCTTTTAAAAGACTACATTTTGGGACCTAATTCCAGAGAGGTTTTAGTATAATGTAAATACCTGAATGAGATTAAAAGGATTGTCCTGGAACTAAAATGAAGAATGTGCTGTTTTGTGGGTTGAAGCCCTTTTTTCTTATTCTTTTCCTTTTTAAATGCAGTTCTTCTGCTGTAACAGCTTTAATCAAACATTCTGTTGATTATATGCTCTGAATAGTCTTTGAACACACTTTGCAATAGCCTTTAGCACTATCAAAGGGACAAATTCAAGCCAGGAAGAGTGTTACACAAACAAGACCTAAATAATTGCTAATGGAGCACACAGCCATATCTACTTACGACTCTTCAGTCTGTGCTTGTTAACCTTAATCCAGTGATAAGATGCTAGCAGAGAGAGGGCTATTAATACCATGACTTCTTTCCTTCTAGCTAAGATGTTTTTGCACATATAGATTCGTCCCTGAAATGTTTTGTCAGATAGGTTAAAAAGTTTTTCTAGTTTCAGTGAAATAGCTTCGTGTTATGTGATAGACACAATGCCATTACTGTGACTAAAACCCTCCATTTCCTCTTTTGGTATTAAGCTCCTATTTACTGGGGTTTTTTTATCTGTTAATACCAGGGAAGGCAAGAGGTCTAATCACCAAGACCATGCAATCAACCCAATCCATTAAAACAGATGGATACTATTTCATAAAATACGCAGCGGTACACATCACATAGTATCATAATTAGAATACTCATGCATATGTATATCGGCATGTTACTTATGGCAAAAGTGCTTCAGAAGCTAACAGGCAAATTTGTTACTGCGGCAAATATGACCATGGCTGCATTTTGCATTTGTGGTTTTCCCTAGGACATCACTAACAAAAATAATTTCTCCTGATTCCCAGCCCTGTGCATTCATCACCTACCTTTCTCTCCCACTTGAATTTTACAGGCCTGGTTCAAATGAAGAAACAGAAACATATGTTTCCCACATGGTACTGCTTGCCCCCCTCCCCAAAGAATCATTAACAGTATTTAGAAGGGTTCGTGAAAAAAGGCACAGAATCTACAGTGAACCAAGAGTACAGCCTCAGCTACAGCACACCTTCAGTGGTAATGACTCAAATAAGCATTAAAAGCTAGAAGGAGTTCAGGAAGAGGTAGAGAGAGTAATTGGAAATATGGGAAGTCTTTCCTGTGAAAAGTGATTGAAGAGATCAGCCCCAGATCCTTTGGAAGAATAATAGGGGACAATCAAATACACCCACCGTTATGGCTTGGAGGAACCGGTCTGGAAAGCAGCGTGTCCCTACACCACAATACAAGAGACAGTGATTTTCAGTGAAAGGGAACAATGACCATTTTTAGACCGATAAAGAAAAATAACATTACTGATAACACAAAGAGTGAAAACACTACTCAAAGAATCCCATTGGCAATGAGGTGTCAGCAGAACTCCAAGCTTTGCTAGCAAAACGAGAGTTAAAAAACTGATCTAAAAACGAATGCAAAAGAATGAAAAGGGAAAGATAACAGAGAGCTGAGTAACAGCCCTGCTTCAAAACTTAAGTTTGTGTTCATATTTTAGCTCCCCTAGGCATTTTCTTACACCTTTATCCGAAGCAAAGAAATCCATCTCCTATCGATCCTCTGGCTGCGGAGAACAAGGCTGTGCAGTCCACACGCGTAGGAACTGTTCTCTGCCAGCTGCCCAGCGCTGCCTGTTTCCTTACCTCTGGGCACAGCAACTGAAGAAATACTGGGTTTCTGCTCAGTATCAGAAGATATTAAATTTCAGACTGCATCCGACAATTTGAGGAAAACTCTTATCACTTCAACAGTGTAATTTACATCTAAAAGAACAATGGAAAAAGAAACGGGTCCTTCTCATATCTAAACTTTGCAACAGCTCCAAGGGAAACAGATTTGATTTTTATTGTTTATTTCAGCGGAAACAAATTAATGCTACAAGCTGACTGCAGGAGAACTAGCAGTTCGCTCATTAGTTGTCCATGCCCATCATGGGAAAAGTCAGGGAGTCCATTCTGGAAAAAGGGACAATGTTGCTAAAGTCAGTAGTTATCATCACAGTAACCCAAAAAGCTCAGGGAGCTTCCACAGGCTACTATCTGCTGATACGACTTTGAAGTTAATGAAGCGCTTAATTTGCATTTCAGCCTTTTGTATTATAGAGAAAAAGCTGCAACTCCGGGTGTACCTTCTGGAAACCCTTTTTTGGAGCCACTTTCACCTAAATCCTTTCCTAATCATCTTTTTCTCTAGGACAATGAAGTCCAAGCTGGAGGGCAGACTGCTAGCTGAGGCCATTGCTCTGTTGGCTGAGTTAAGCAAACCCAGCTGCCCGAGTTTTAGTGAATGACTCTGTGATGCAGCCAGCATCCCAGGCCCACTACAGCTCCTGAAGGAACCAGCTCCTTCTCCTCCACCCCATGGGCTAACACCGATACCTCAAACACCGAGGATGCCAGCTGTCCAGTCCTTAAGCCAGCACTCCGGACTCAATGGGTTCCCTGGTCTATCCATTGAGTATCTCCTGCCACACAATCTCTAAAAGCTTCAGGCTTCTCTGGAAAACAGCCCACTCCGTGGGGAAAACAGCCGTCACCTCTTGCTAGCATGCTACTTAGCTAGAGGAAGAGCTGCTCTTCCCATTAATCCTTCACGAGCCATTTAATGCAGACCTTAATCACCCTTCATAGGCTTCTGTAACAGTAATTGCCTCACAGAATTATTTTTTTTTTATGAAAAGACTCTCAAATCTCAATTTGATGAAGAACTTTTAAACAGTTTCTCCAAATGAGCAGACATGCTCCTGTTCCACTGCAGAGAACTGGAGGTAGCTTTAAGGGAGAAAGAAGCATGAAGAAATATAACTGTTTTTTCTCATTTATTTGACACCCACAGAAAAGGAAAATTGTTTTAATGGACTCCCATGATCCAAGATATGACAAATACAAAGGAGTATTTCCAGTGCTTGAATATTGAAAATTCTTATTTAATTTTATTCATTTTCTGACAACATCTTTTCAAACTATAATCTCTCATTCACAATAACAAAAGTATGTCTTGTATAACAATGTGAGCATGACATTTTTAAATGCTTAAATGTAATTTCAGCCCAGATAAAGAGGTTTGTGATAACGAATGAATGGGTGGATACTAATATCTTTCAGGGCAAGTCATAAGAAATTAAATGCAGCAATCAAGTTTATAAATATCTCTGGTGAAACCTAAGTCACCATCACATCATCATGGCTTTTAGAAGGCTTTTACATCCCTCTTAGATTGACTGCGTGGTACGTTACAACCTGATAAATGATTGAGGAAAAAGTATTTTAAAATGTCATGCCTTTCTGGTGCCTGACAAACATTGTGAAATGTCACCATTTGCTTCTGCAGGTACTGTCAGCTAAGGTCTTCCGCAGTTTCCTAGGAACAGCATGTATATCATTAATATTACACAGGTTGTCCAATTAAAGATGACTAACCACTGCCATTTTCAGGTCAGGCTGTATTTGTACAGTAAAGACAGTAATTTTCTAAAATGTAGGGACAAAAAGTTTAGCACCTACTAATTATATATACTATGAGTCAAGGTAATGTCATGCCACTAGTCATGGTCTAATGTCAAGCAGTTAACCTTAAAATGTACAGTATTTTACTCTTGGAAGTGCAAGCCATATGGAAGAAAAAAAATCAGCTACTGGAAAGTTGAAGTGCTTAATGAACTGTTTTGCAAATCAGCCTCAAATACCCTTAAAAACTAAAGTCCTTCTTCTGCTTTCCTGATTTTTTACAGAAAAGCTAGCAACGTTCCTGAAATAACAGACTTAGTGTTTTTGATTACTTACAGTTGCTTGTCATTTTTAATATGGCAACCAGTAAACTTTTCTTGTAGATAAATGGTGTGGAAAATCTCAGAACCTCTGCTGGCAAGAAATTAATTCATTAAATGTGATTGAAGACTTTCTTATGCTCCACATTTTTGTTAGTAGTTCAAAGAGAAAGAAATTCTCTGGGGATGAACTACATGCAAAACCAAGGATTACAAAATGGGTTTCTCCTTTCATTATGAAAAAAGTAAGAGAGGGAAGAATAAATGAGGAGGTGAGACTGGAAAGTGAAAGAATTAGAAAATTTAGATTTCTAACAACCTGTAAACTAAATGTCTGTAACCTGCCTCA